AAAGAATCATAATCCTTGGCATCATCCATCACATTTCAAGTTAAAGGAACTTAACTGGGTTTCCCCACTAAAAGCTAAGGAACCCGGCAGAGAAGAGCTAGAAAAAGAAGGACAGGTCCAATTACGTGTCTGTAACCTGCTGCAGACAGATTTTGATCCAGCATGAGGCATGGCTGCCTTGCCCTTGGAGATGGATGGCACAGAAGTCATCATACACAAGGTGGATTATTTTTTCATTTTATTTAAAACTTTTTAGACCATCCCTTACCATAGTCTTGGGACAGTTTAACAGTAAGACAAAAAATAAAATAGAGCACAGTATCCTAATCAATTTCTGACAACAAAACCCGTATTAAAATAACAGTCAAACCTTAAAATATTGGGGAAATAAAAATGATTTAGCCCGGCACCGAAAAGAATACAGTGATGGCACCAGGTGAGCCTCTCTGGGGAGCATATCCCACAGTTGGGGTGCCACCACAGAGAAGGCCCTCAAGGGAGGTTGGACTCAAGGGATCTGAACCCTGATGCATTTGACCCAATTAAGCATGACAAGGGTGAGAGAGAGAAAAAACTGCATTTTATTCTCCAGGATAAATTCAGTCACAGCAAAAGGGCAATTGACCCAGAAAGCAGGGGGCAGAGTCCTTTTACTCGTATCCCCTGAATGACTGGGTAGCAAGGACAGACAGTCATTGGATTCCCACTGTGGGTGCAGATCGACACATTTACACTCAGGAGACTTGACTGGGGAGATTGGACTTTTGTTCAGTCCCAGGCCACTTGTGATGCTCTATTGTGTAGAGTCCAGACTTAGTTGTTGGTGGTGCCGTACATGATTCCCCGTGATTGGCCAACTGAAGCGCATGCAATTTCTCCAAACCAGGTGGGGGTTCCTTCGAATCATAATATTAGCAGTTCAGTTAGAATGTATACTGTCTGTCAGGAAAGATAGCATGGAGTCCAAGAATTCACAGCATGATTAACAAGCAATACAAGGAACCTATTGGAGAAAGGAAGGCTTCCTTCAAAAATTCAAAGTCTTGCCCAAATGAGAAGAACAAAAAGGAACACAAAGAGGAAAGCCAAGCAGATGAGGTAAGAAAATAATATAATGACCAAGAATTCAAATGAATGAATACTTTAGAAGCAGGAAACCGGCTGGAGAGATGGTTAGATCACTGAATTATGGAATTAACACAACGGGGAGGATGATACCATGACAGGGAAGCTGAAAGGGGTTTTTTGTTTCTTTGTACCCACTCCATAAAAGGTGTGAACACCCTGGTGTCTGAACTCATATTTACAGGAAGGAATTGCTCGTGGAGGCAATTGCAGTGACAAGACATCAAGTTCTTGACCTAATTGATCAACTGAAATTATGTTAACCTGGGTCCAGATGGTATCCAGCCAAGAGTTTGCAGTGAAAACCAATTTCAAGTCACGGATCCACAAAACAAGGGACGAGGTCTCTTAGGCACCGTACAAGAGAAGCAGAGATTGGACAGTGTGGCGGCAGAGAGATCCAGAAAATTAGTGGTGAACTTAACACCTGTTCTGGGTAATTGGAAAGCATTCTTAATGGCAAAATTATCAAGTTCCACTGCTTGATGAATATGCCATCGAACATGTGTCTGCTGTGGAGAAGGCAACACAATTAGAAAAGCAAATAAAAATAAAAAATAAAAATAATTCCTGCCAATGGAATCATCTTAGTGCCATCTTGGGAAATTTGGAGAGTGAGCCCAATTTGGAGAGTGACTCTAGAAAAAAGAGATGCTTTTGCCAGATGCTAAAAAATCTCTCAGTTTAATGGATTGATTTTCTAATTTTCATGTGTAACCACGTTTGACTATCATTGCTGCCTGGGCTGAGTATTGATTTGTTTAAGCTTGGGGTGCGTTTAGAAATCACTCAATGCACTTGGCATTTCCATTAAGTATATTATGACTGCAATATAAAGAACAGAATTTGATACTTGACTTTTCTCATTCTCTCATCTCCTTCCCCCCTTTCCTTTTATGTTAAACCTTTTAAAACATGACAGAGAGGGTTGTTTTGAGTTTTACTGATTTGTAATTCATTGATCTGGAAGCCTTTGGGCTGAAAATCGGAATATGAATGCTGCGAATGGCTATGTGTATAAGCAAGAGTGGTTTATATTCTTGGTTGCCATTGCTGGGCAAATGAGAAGATAGCACAGATCTGACAAACGTGCCGCTGCACCCGAAATTCCCAGATTATGCAAATATCCCTTACAGAGTGTGGATGATTTCAAAGTTCTGCATTTGAGAAGGTGGTGCATTTTTTCAAGGATGCCTTTTGAAAAGGGAAATGCACATTCTGAGAAAATAAGTTCCTGTTTGCATTTGGAGTTACCAGTGGGGCATTTTCAAGTATTTTACTTGAAAATGGATTTACTTCTGAGTAGACATACCTAGAATCACACTGTAATTTTATGTAGCTCTCACTGTCTGCTCAGAATTGCAGTTTGTCTGCTTCATTCCTCGTTTGTGGTTTTTCTCCCTGATGTTGTTGAGCAGGTGGCAAGATCTGTCATTTCTTCCAGTGAATCGTGATTTCTTGCTCCTTGGCTTCCCAAACTTCTCTCCTGCTTGGTCCTGTGGGACCGCTGGTGCCTGTCCCTCCAGGGGAGACCCTTCTCTTGTGCCCACCTCCTTCACGGGCATGCTTGGTGAGAACAAAAGGCAGCGGCTTCCTGGGGGCTGCCCCATCGCTCTGGAGCTCCCTTCCCAGGGACTGGCGACCTCTGTTTTCTGATTCTGTGCTTTTCTGGGCTGGCAGGGCTTGGAACTAGCCTAAACCCCTGGAGACTGTTGAACTAGTTCTGTTGTATGCATTGCTTATATAGTTTGGGTTCTTATTTTGGGGTTGGTGCTTAAATAATTTTGGCATTCAGATTTAAATAGACGTTTGGCTTGTGTGCATTTCTAGTGAAGTTTTAATTGTGTAGTGTTTAATGTTATCAGCTGCCTCTAGTCCCAGTACTGGAAATAGTTTTATCCGTTGTGTGGATAAAAATACACATAAATGCTTAAGGATTAAGCTTGAGAGACGATCCAGAGGGACTTAGGAAACAAAAACAGGTGTTTGCCCGCTAACCCATCTCATCACAATGGCGGTGTAGCAGGGGTGACTGGTCCAAATCCTGAAAGCTGCATCCAGAGAGGGAGACTCCAGGTAAGCAGGGGAGAGGATCAGGTAGTTGTTCCTTCCATGCTCAAACCAGTCTGTGAATCTTTTTGTGGAAAATCTTTCCTCGAATCTAAAGAAAACTGGCTCATGTGGCTCGTCTCCCTCCAGTGCCTTCCATTGTCCTTATGCCCTTTCATTTTTGCATCTTGTCCCTTTTTCTTCGGCTTCTAGTGATACTTTTCCACCTTGCTCACCATCACACAACGGTTTGGTTTTCTTGTAAAGCAGAACCAAGGAATGGAATGCAGACTTAAGCGGAGGGAATGCTTAGCAGGGGGCTTTGGACCTGGATGGGTAGAAATCAATGATTTAAAAGCAGACAAACACAAATGAAGCAATTGGATTCTTTAGCAAAATAGCTGCAATTGAACCTTGTCATGAACATGCGAACTGGAACCTTGGATTCTCTTTGCTGTCTTCCCAAGTCCTGAACCTGTGGAGCCTGAGTCACCAGTGCTGTAACTGCCAAGGGCCCATTGGCTAAAGTGCCAATTCTTTTCGCCATTCTTGCCAACGGGCTCATATATTTTTTTACTTGACTGTGGGTTCTTGGTGATGTCTCAGTCTGGAGGGTGTAACAAGCCAAAAGTGGCCTATTCGTCTTCCCAACAAGCCATGACTTCTTCAGAGGTTCGCAGGTAATGTGCTAAGTGCACAGACCATGTTTTGGCTTAGCTTGTGACGCGAAGCTACTCAACAAATCCTGAAATGACCTTCTTCAAAGAACCCGATTTGATCACACCAACTTTCTTCTGATCAGGCAGCCTATGCCAAACGTCCACAAGTTGGACTACAATTCCAATAAAGGAGCAATAAATGGTTAGCAATATTATCTGGGCATGATGGAAACTGTAGTCTAAGATGTCTGTAAGGCACCAGGTAGGGGAAGGCCAGCCTAATTGCTAATGAAATTCAAGAATTCTCCACTATCACTTTGTGGCTGCATGTCCCGGGTCAGGGTTGAGACAACTTGCAGCCCTCCAGAGGGTGGATTGCAACTCCCATCAGTCATAGTCAGCATAGCCAATAGAGAGTTTATGGAAGCTGTCATCTGGACAGCCACAAGAAATACAAGAAACAGACTTACACAAGTCTGGACTATTTGTCCTCCTGGCCTGGGTTTTCTTACTCTGACTGGCACTGGCCATCTGGAACTTTGGGCAAAAATGGGTCTCTCCTACCAGTGATGACCTCATCCTTTTAACTGGAGTTGCCTAGGACTGAACTGGGATCCTTCTACATGACGATCGGGCTGTTGCACCATTGAGCTGTAGAACGTGCCCAGCACAACTCACAAATCACCCCGTGCTGGTTTTTACACATCATTTTGTTGCTCTGTCCAGAGAGGCATGCGTTCTACAAGGACTTATGCATAAAGGGGCAGAAGAAATCCCTAGCCCTTTGCAGGGCAACCTTCTCCACCTTCTCATTCTCATTCATTTGTGTCTTCAACAGCAGCCCTGCTCAGTTCTCATTGTGCCTAAATTTAGAGGTTGTGCAGAAGTCAACTGGGGTACAGATCCTTTTGGCTTTCGATGCCCCACCTGGATTTCTTTCCAACAAAGAAAGGCCCTTCTAGTGTGTCGCGTTCACTTTCTGGTGATTTCTAGGGAAGCCTGTGCTTGGTTTGGTTACTACGGTCTTGTTACTATGGGTTGCTATTTCTGTATGTTTTATTCTGGTTGTGTCATCTCTCTTGTGCTTTTTCTTGCAGAAAGGAAGCTTGAATTATGTGTGTTGCCATGTTGTGACCGTTTTCTGTGTGTCTGTTTTCTTATTTCCAGATACAGACTTAGGAGTTGGTACATTAACGGAAAATGAAGACCAAGATGGGAGGACGTTGGTGGTTCCCAAAATATCAGGGCTAGAACGGAGTCAAGAGAAGAGCCAGGAGAGCAGTAAAGAGCCTTCACTTGATACTGTTGTGCCTCAAGACCTTTGTCCTCAGGATCCCCACCCTTTGATCCAACTCCAGCTGGAACCACCTTCAGAAGCACGTTCTCCAAACCCTCCTGCGACCCAGCCAACGGATCCTTCTCATTCATCACAATCTAAAGCCCCACAGAAACTACCAGCTTCGGAAGAGGCTCAGCATACCACAGCCCCTCCATCCCAAGTACAACGCCCTCCGAAGCCGCCCTCTCCCGGGCAGCCCCCACATCAAAACCTGCCATCCGCCCAGTTGCGTCCTCCATCGTGTAGTCTTGCCCAACAGTTGTCTGCATACAACAGTAGCAGTTTAAGCCTTAACAGCTTGAGGTGAGGCTCTTGTGTGTTTTCCAGGGAGAAATGTTGCCATTTCATGAAACGGGGTGGACTTGTTCTATGAGGTCCATGGGCAGGGGGTGGTGAGAAAGGTCTTAATGCAGTGGACATGCTAGAACTTTGGACCACCCCTAGAAAAGAAGAGCAAGCAAACAAAACAGGGCAGGGGGTATATAATGAAGATGTGGCTCTCACTGCCACATGATTGGATGATGGATACTCATGCAAGTGACTTGATGGGGCAGATAGTTGTGTCACTGCCTAAAGGGAACCTCCATCTTCAGAAGTAGTATATACTTAAGTACTGGTTTCTCAGGTTAATCAACACACCTCTGGGAGTTTGTGGAATCTTCTGGTTGACCCCTGTGGGAAACAGGATGTAACTCCAGTTGGAGCTTTAGGGCTCTTTTTGCCTTCATAACCCCTCTCCAGCCCACCCTCTAAATGTTGAAGGTTGTATGATCCAGCCCTCATTGCGCATGGCATACTCACCCGAGTTCCTCCTGTTAAAATTAATTTTGGGGTCCTTCAGACCTGTTTTACCAGGGATTACCAAGAGGAAGAGAGAGAACACGTGCAAACCAGAAGGAGCAGTTCCTTAGCCAGATGCCATCACAGAATCTTAGACTTGGATCTCCTCCACTCCCAGCTCAATACAGGCTCTACAATGCAGTGTCCAACTTCAGCATCCCAGAGGGGTGGCCATCCAGCCTCTGCTTAAGAGCTCCCAGTATCTCAAGGGAGTCTATGTCTCTGCTCAACAGCTCTTAACATTAGGGAAGCCACAACTTTTCTCCACACACTTCCCACCCATTGGTTCTCCTTCTATCCTGCAGAACAACAGAAAACAAGTCTGCACCATTCTTGGCCGCAGAACCTTTCGGATATTCAAAGGCAGCTGTTGCGACTCCCCCTAACCATCCCTTCTCCAGGTTCAAACCCAGATCTTTCAACCGTTCTTTGTAGGAACAGGTTTCCAGAATCTCCACAATCCCATTCACTCTCCTCTGGGCATGCTCCAGTTGGTTAATGCTGTCCTTAAAGTGAGGTACCCAGCAGTGGATCCAGCACCCCAAATGTGCTCTGAACGGTGCAGAATATAATCTCTGGAAACGACGCCCTTGTTGCTGCAGCCCAGCTCCAACTTCCCTGCCAGATGATCATCCAGCTTCCCTATAAATGAATCCATTGGAGCAGAGCCCACCACCTCCTAGACCACAAGAAGAACATGGAAGGGGCCACAACGGAGTGAAAGACCGCCTGCTTTGCCTGAAGGAAGTGCTAGTTGCACATTGGCCACCAAATAACCTGATCTGAGGTAGAACAGACCTGTATCTACCTCAGCTCCTGCTTCCCATGTGGTCAACCGAACAATGTAGCCACACCACCTCCCCAGCTCCCCCTACCCCACGATTGAGGTCAGGTCTAAGCATTGCTTGGCTAATGCTTGTTGCGCTAGGAGGAGTTAGGTTTGGTGGCTTCCTGGGTGGATCTCGAACCTTCTCCGGGGCTTTGCCTCCTAACGTTTCTTCTCTTTGCAGTAGCAGCAGAAGCAGCACTCCTGCCAAGACCCAGCCTCCTCCACCGCCTCCACATATAGCCCACCACTCCTCCGTGTCACCATTCCCCCTCTCGTTGCCCAACCACAGCCCGCTCCATACCTTCGCGTCCACCCTCCAGCCTCCTGTGCACCCCCATCACCCCAATATGTTTGCCCCTCCCACAGCATTGCCCCCTCCTCCTCCTCTGACGTCAGGGGCATTGCAAGTTTCAGGCCATCCTGCTGGGAGCGCATATTCAGGTAAGGATGAAGCTGAATGCTGGCAGGGTCACCAAATATCGCCATCCAAGGGGTGGCCCAGGGTGGCTGGGAGGGAGAGAGGCATCGGGTGTTCCAGATTGGTACCCTTGAGATGTACCCCTTCTGATAGGCCTTCCCAGATTAGGTTTCTCTCATATGCTTGTTCTTGTGGTTTAAATTTGAATTATCACTGGTTTTAATCACTGCTAAACCACCTGGAGCCGACGGGAATGGGGTAGCATAGAAAAACCAGCTTATTTATTTATTCATTCATTTATACTTTCATTCAAATGCTGTCTACTACTGCAGTCTTGAGGCGGCTTACGATAAAGACAAAACCACATAAAATGCATATATGAAGATAAATATACATATGAAAAAAGGAATAAAAACTTGATTATCAAAATTTAAAACCTAGCAATGACAACCAGACCAAGCAGCAGTTCAGGGGAGGGAAGGGCCGATTCCTTAAAAAGATATTAAAAAGAAATATTTTTGCCTGGTGCCAAAACTGTAATAGAGAAAGTTTGCATGTGGACACACACACACACACACACACACACACAGACACACACACACACACACACAATTTTCGTATTATATAATATGTATAGTATACAATTCCCTTTCGGGGCATAATGTAAACTTCTGGAGAAATACTGCAGCATATTTGCATAGTATTCTCCATATTCACTGCTTAAGTAGCGGTCTTGGAGTGGGATTGCCTTGCTGGGCTGATTCTGATGTCAGAACCTGGTCTGGCTGCACCCCAGCCATCACATTCTTGGACTAGCCCATTAGGGGTGAGGGGGTGCCACACAGAGGTGGTAGAGACCTGTTTTCCCCTGCGGAAGAAGGCAGGATGCGCTCTAATGGAGCAAAGCTCAGGGAACCAAGATTTAGGGTGGATGCCAGGAAGTTCTTCCTGACAGTTAGGACCCCGAGGGCATGGAATGGGCTTCCACAGGAGGTGGTTGCAGCCCCATCGGTGAAGGTGTTCAAGGACAGGCTGGACATGCCCATGGTGGGCATGTCGTGAGCAGAGCTGGCTGGAGCCGAGGGTCAGACTAGATGGCCCAGGAGGCCCCTTCTGACTCACCCTGTTTCTGTGTTTCTTGCATCCCTGCACTGAATATGGATGTCTGCAAAGGAACCCACACACAACCAGCCACTCTCGCATGGAAACTCCATGCCCCGGTGGTCGTACACCACCAATTAGATTCTTCTACACAGAGGTCTTTCCTAGGATACTGATTACTCACAGCGCTGAATGAAGTCCAGAAATAAAGTGATGGATTTCACTAGGTCGTGTGGCAATGACAGGTATGAATCGAATGTGGGAAAACAAGAACATCTGTTTGGCAACTGAGGGCAGACCTGAGTGATCATTTTTCCTATTGTAACCTACGGTCGTAAAATCCAGACAATGAAGAAGTTAGACAAGAGGAAAACGGACCTGCTTGAGCTGTGGTGCTGGCAGAGGCTCCTGTGCATTCCATGGACAGTGGGGGTCACCAACAGGCAGGTGCTGGAGCATATTGAACCAGATGCGTCCCTGGCTGGCAAGATAACAAAGCCGAGACTCACGTGTTTTGGCCCCAAGATGCGATCGAGCTCATTAGAAAGAGAGAGAATGCGTGGAATGCTCAGCGGCAAGAGGAAACCGGGTCACCAAAGAGGAAGGTGGTTGGACGCCATCAAAGAGGATGCGGGCCAGAACGTTGTTCAGCTGAAAGATGTGGCACGGGATCAGAAAGTGTGTCAAGATTTGGCCCTTGGGGTCACTTATAGTTGGACATGACTGAACAGCTGAACAACAACCACACCCAGAAGTCCCCTTGCAGGAATGTGTATCTAGCACGTCAATACAGAAGAGCATGGCTAGCCCAGACTGGGATGTCCGGGTTGGCACCGGCAACACAGCTCCAGCTCCGCGTCTCCGTATGACCGGTCCACCGTGACTCGTCTGCTTTTTCCTCCACCTTAATGCCTTTATAGAACTATTATGGAAGGACTGCGGTAGGAATAGTTTGTATAAGCTCTTGACTCTGTCTTTTGAATGTTATCCGGCAGAGCTGGAAAGACAGCAGAAAGGGGTACACGAAGGAAAGGAAGGTCTCAAGATGTTTCTGCAAACCAAAGAGGAAAGTGCTCGGGACATTTTAGCTGAGAAGAACAACCAACTGGAGGGGCAAAATTGGACAGAGACCCTCTGATCCCCTTCCCCAGTTTTCCATGATGAAAGAACTCAGATTGAATGGGGTTGGCAGCAGATTCAGAACAGGAAGGAAAGAATTATGGGATTTATGGATACAGTGAGATATGTGGGTGGCTAAGGACATATTCATGGAGGGAAATGAAGCTAATGGACCATGCAAGGAACATAATATTCTGGGGGCCAGTGTGGTGTAGTAGTTAAGAGCATAGGACTGGGACTCAGACGATACATGTTACAATTTTTTATTTTTTTATTAAATGCTTTTATAGACCATCCCATTACTAACATCTTGGGACAGTTTACAACAAGCACAGATAAAAATGGCACAGCATCCAGCAATTCACAATAAAATCACAATGAAAACCAATTAAACTTTAAAATAATGGGAGAATAAAAGGCTTTCAGAAAGCTTGTTCAAACATTTCAGGACATTTCCCCCTTTCAAAACTGCCGTGATTCTTTTGATGGCTCAAATCCTTTCCCCCTTTTTAAAGGGTATACTCGATAAATACACCCCAAATTTCATTAAACTTGTTTTTCTCTATATGCCCTTTTCTCCCTCTAATCTCACATGCTAATTTGTCATCAAAAGCTACATGCCAAACTTCTCTGCACCAATCAGACAACTGGCAATTGTATTTTACTTTCTATGGTAGGAAATAGTGTAAAAATTTCAGACCTTCCTGTTGGATGAGGCGTTCTAATTTCTGGTTTTGGGATAGTGATTACAGTCTCTCCTTGTCAAGCCCAGAGCTCATGTTGTGGTCTTGCTTTGCAGAGCAAGATCTCCTCCGCCAAGAGCTGAACACGCGGTTCCTCGCATCCCAGAGTGCCGACCGGGGCGCCTCGCTGGGCCCACCGCCCTACCTGAGGACGGAGTTCCACCAGCACCAGCACCAGCACCAGCACACGCACCAGCACACGCACCAGCACACCTTCACGCCTTTCCCGCACAGCATCCCACCCACGGCCATCATGCCAACGCCAGCACCTCCCATGGTGCGTACCCCCGGCAGAAATGTGAGGATGAGTAGCGCACGTTCTTTTGTTGCCCAGTTTGTGGATGCTGCTAACCACACATTTGCAAGGAAGGGGTTCTCAGAAGAGGCAGTTCCACCTGTTTTCCCGGACTGGGACCCTGGAGAGCAGGTTTAAACCAGAGCAGAAGGTTCTTGTCTGGTGGATCACCTCAGAGTAGAAGCCAGCTTGACACTTGTGCCGGGTCCTTGCTGAAGGTCCATTGCCCGGGAGTTGATCACAACTCCAAGGTGAAGGATCTGAATACAAGTCCAGGTGACACGGTCCTGCCATCCTGTCCTGGCCAAATATGCTATTAGGGCAACGGTCCCAAAATGATTGTTTCGTGGGCTCTTTTTCCTGAAGGATTTGTACCAGCTCCAAATGCCCATGTGTCTTCCACAGGGTGCCTGAATTGTTAGAAGAGGCTGGTAAAACAAGCAAAGGAGCAAACTCCAAATTCAGTTTTATGTCCTGGGCAAACCGGACATCTTATTCTAGGCTGCCTTCATTTACTTAATCTTCCTTTCACCAAAAGCTCAGACAGAAGTTAGATCTCATAGCACTTTGGGGACCAAATAAATTAGCAGCAGCAGCAGCTTTTCTAACCTATCCCTTACAAACCTCTTGGAACAGCTTATAAATTACAGAAACAGGACCCAAAATACAGCAATAGCTGAATGCAACCCTGAAACAGGAAGGTTCACCCATCCACAGTAGCAGTTAATGAAGATTATTTATATTTTCCATTAGTCACGAGAGCTAGAATCTTGATCATTTCAAAGCCAAATAAAACATGAAAGGTGAGACACTTGCAGTCCTATGAAAGCAGCAGAGTTGGAGCTGCATATCTAGATAATGCTCAGGTACATTTCTAGATCCCCTGCAGGGGTGAGCGCAGAAGCAAGAAATTAAGAGTCTGGTTCTGTTTATTTATCATGAATGTAGCTGATTGAATTCCTGAGTTCAGGTTGCTGAAGCATTGCTTTTTAGAGATCAGGCAAAATTAAAATGGAGGCTGCGTGCAGTGGAACAGTATCTCTCTGTTGCCCAGACTTTTCTGCAACACCAGTGCAGAAGTTCAGCAAATATCCTTTCTGAGGTGGATTCGGTTTTTTCTATGCAGGTTCTCATTTATTGCTTCTTGTTCTGTGCCGCTGAGGTTTCCTGCACTGAGCAGGAACCAGTAAAGTTTCTGATGAGCTGCTCCTTTGCCACTAATTGCTCTTCTTTATGCTTGCAGATGGTTTATAACGAGTGCCTTTTTATTTACTTCTTTCTTCTTTGTACTGAAGTGGTAGTGGAAGAGGAGCAAGGAGTCCAGTAATTAAGCGGAACAGAACCTGCAAAACACACCCCTTTTCATTTACAGACACGCCAGTTATTATTTCTTTATTTAAGGACATTTAACCTGACTTTCAAGGCACACGGTCTCACCAGTGGTTTGGGAAAATTTCCAAAATTTTCCAGGGAAAATGCATGTCACCCTCCAAATCCAAAGGTTCTTGTGCGTTCAATGCTCCACAGCTGCTGTGTCTCACCCTGTGTATTTACCAGCCCCAGAGAGGGGGAAAGAAGGAGGCTCAGGGTGGGCAGCCCCTGTCTTCCCCCACCCCACCCCACCCCACCCCTGGCATGCCCCTTTTGGTCCTCCTGGGGGCCCAGCACTGGGCTTGGAGAAGCGGTCGCTGCAACCGCTGGCCTGGAAGTGGATGTGTGAACTGGATGACCCCTGACCTCTTCCCACTTCTGGCTCTGCCCCCAAGTGCTGCCTTGGGTGAGGGTTGGGTCCTTCTCCTCCAGCACTCGATGCTTTCATTGGTTGACCCCTGTGGTCCCCCTGGAGAGAGGCATCCTTCCCGGGGCATGTGCCAATTCACAGGTGTGTGTACTGCTCCCCCGATGCAAGATAATGAGTCTGTGTTTTGATCCTTTTGCAGTTTGACAAATACCCTACAAAAGTTGACCCTTTCTACCGCCACAGTGTGAGTTCTTCTTACTGCATTGAAATGTTCAGTTCCTTTTCTCCAGCCAGCCGATCACCCCATTCAGCAGCGACACCACATCCCATTTCGTGTTTCATCCCCCCTGTCATCTCTCTCCAAACGTTCGCCATCGCCTTCGCCGGTTGCTTCCACTCTTGGGTGTTGGCCTTGTTCAGGATATACCATGTAACCCTTAAACAAAAAAGCAAGCGTTGAGTTCAATGGGAGCTCCAACTATCCGGTTCTCATGGGTTTCCTTGGTCATTCGACTAGGGAAAGGCATGGCTGCAGCATTCATTTGCATCTCACATAGCAAGTGAGGATGAGGCCAGCATCCTTGGGGTGCATTAATTCCAGGGGACGAGCAGTGGGGCCCCAAGCCCACTCTCCACTAAAAGCCTTGTGGGAGAGGCTGGGAGAGAAGTCTGGCCTTGCCTGGAATAAATAGCTCTGAGAGACAGGTCTTCTCATGTGCAATCCCTTCCCGCTTTCCTTCAGATTCCAAAACTCAAGACAATCCTTTGACATGCAGTTCTTTTCTTGAAGGTTGAGGGAGAAGCTGCATGCCCATGTCTAGAATTGAATCCACTCGGGGAGATTCCCCGCTGTCCCTCTCTTCCAGAAAAACTTCCGGCTTCATCCCCGGGGGCCTCTTGCTCCTTGAGAGCAAGTCGGAATGGCAAAGACCCTCTAACTGGGCAGCTTGTTTCTCCTGATGCCTCCTTACCAGGTCAAGGATTGGTCATCACACAGGCTCCCTCTCCTTTCCTGAACACCCTTTCTACCCTTCCAAAGCAGGCCGAGTCTCGCATGGTGCCTGAGAAACTTCCCTAGGTAGCCTTGAAGCTTCAAAGCCCTGTCCACCTGTAAGCTTTTCCACCTCCTCCTCCTCAGAATCGGAAAAGTCATCTGAAGAGTCTGCAATGAGTGAGAAATGGGGCATCTCTCTACAGGTCAAAGGGGAAACCTTTCATCCTCCACTTCCTGTTTCACGAGTGATCAATAATCAAGACTTTCCTCCAACATCACGGTGCAGATTGGAGGTGGAGAGGAAGACAATCCCCCCATGGCTATCTCAGGTCAAGAAGGGACAGCATTGATTCTTGACCTCACTAATCCCCTATTGCAATACAAAACTTGGAGAGTAGATCAGATCCAAGTCTACTCATAGTTCAAAAATTTCAGATTTAAAGAAAAAAACAAATCTGATTCCATGAGGTAAGGGAAAAACCAGTATTTGTTAACAATTCTGTAGAAGTGGGCCGCACACTTTTGTAACTTGGGATATAAACTGTGCAGCTGATTTATTGCTTCCAAGACCAAGAATATTGTCTCTCCATATTCTTGGGAAGGGAGCAATCACAGGATGGACAGCAGTGCAGTCCCAACCCCATAGCTAATGGTTGAAGTGGGGTTAGAAGGTAGTGGAGTTGATGCTTGACTCATCTCTCTCTTCATCTCTACCATCACAGAGCTCTCTGCTCCCTCTGGATGGGAGGAAAGTCCCAGGAGAAAGCTCATACAGGAGCTCCCTCCCCTCTTTCTGGAGGATCTGGCCACTGGTCCAAAGAGCCACAGATCCCTAGAGGAACCCAATCAGCTATGCCAGCCAGAAGCTGGTGTATCCAGAGGAAATTGTCCTTCCACCATGGCTGGTGTAAGCCAGTTGGCAGTGGATTTTCTGTTGGTCCCATGCTAAACTCTCTGGGGAGAAGAACCTTATGGCTAGCCAATATTTTCTGCCCTTTGACTGGCCAGTTCATGGCAGGTCCCATGGAAAGATATGTGGTTTTTCTTGCATCTTGCACATCCCAAGCCTTCCTACACCACTGGGGTGTAGGAAAAAGTGGAGTCAGTCAAACACACATATTTGCTGACTCTGCTGAAAGGATGATGGTGCCCCCATACACGTGAGAGCCTCATAAGCATTGGAAGACAGACAGATTCTGTTCTGTGAGCTTTCGGCACTCTTGTTCTCCACCACTATCCTTTCTTGATCACAAAAATGAAGCCTGGGTCATTTGTGTCTCCCTTTTATTGCTCCTGGATTTCAGATGCCCCTTAGACTGATGACTCCTTCCATCTCAGTGGTTAGCTGAGGCTAAAAGCTACACAACCGAAATGCTGAAAGCTTTAATTGACATGTGATTAAAAATGCATGATTAACTGATTAGTTTTACTCAGTAGTACAAAGCTAAGGGTAAAATGACCCATGTTTGTAGGCAAAGTAGATCTGGATGTTGACATTTGCCTTTTACCTTTTAGCTATGAATGTGTTTTCTTAGCCCAAGAAAACAATATTGCTAATAGTCTTGCATATTGTCTTTCCAAAATGTTTTTATCCGAACTGGATGGGGGAAAGCCCAAAACAAGTCAGGAATCCAGTTGAAGTTTAATAGCATTGTTACAGAGGATGAATTAATTGTTTGGTGCTTTGTTATAATTGCTAATTGTTTGCTCCCTCCATCTAATGCAAGTTTGAGCACGCCCTCCAATTTCTGAAAGCTGGCTTTGATGCCCTGCAAGTAAAAATGCAGTTCCCAGATTCTCTCTCTGTTTGTGCAGAGCTTTTTAAAGCTCATGTGAACCTGATAAGATAGTTTAAAAAGGCAGAAAAAGAAGAAATAAAAGGATCCAGGCAGAAAAGAAGTAAGTGTTCAAGGATGGGCATGTCGTGAGCAGAGCTGGCTGGAGCCGGGGGTCAGACTAGATGGCCCAGGGACCCCTTCTGACCCTCTCTGTTTCTATGTTAAGTGTTCCATTCTAATAACTCTGCTCTGTGACTCCATAGCCTACCTTTACTGGAGAGGTTTACAGTAGCAGAAGCTCTGTTGAGCCACGAGGAGCTGGGTTTGGTGTCACCTTGGCTCTGGTTAGGCTTCTCCTGAATAGGTTATAGGTGTTCATGCTGTCCTACTTCTGAGTAGCCTATGAGCAGGACTCCGGAGGGGTTCAGTGTCTTTGGTAGGTCTAGAGCAAAGGACAGTGCCAGTGGGAATGAGTCATTCCTAGTCTTTATTTCTGCTCCTTCCCACTGGTCATACTAGTACCTGTTTTCTGGAGAACAACCAATGGATAATGCAAATACAGCATCTCTCTATTGTTTGGAACTTGCATGCAGTACAGAAGATTAAATGTTACAGAAAGTGGAGTCTTTAGATGCTCATTTTGGACATTAAAATAAGGGTAACAAGTGAGGTTACCCCCTTGTCTAAATGGCTTCTTGAGCGCTCTTTCTATCAATACCAGCTAATCTTAGAAATGTTTTTCTGCACCACTGAAAGTTCACATTGAAAGGAAGTAACTTTTAAAAAGATGGGGATGATTTATGAAAAGAAGAGGGGGGTGAGCCAGATGGTCGCATGAATGATTTAAAATTATTGCCTTTGCTTAATGAAATAAAATGTACAAATTTTAAGGATTCTTGTGCACACAGTGGGAATCCATTTTATTTCTTTCGAGCAATGTGGGCGAGGCTGCCATGGTATTTGTGCAGTAAACTGGTACCGTGCTGTGACCTTGTTTAAAGATATTGTCAGAATCACTCCTGGATTTACATCTGCCAATATTTATTTCTTATTTAGCTAATTTCCAGGCCACCCAATAGCTCTTCAAAAGGTGAATGCTAATCAATTCAATATTGAATAAAACAGCACTGATCATAAAATTGCATTCAAAAAGTCACTTTGTAAACATTTAAACAGCTAAAACCAGTCCATTTGACTAGGCCTGCAAAAAGACAGCTGGCAAGAATCCCTACTACCGCTCTGTGCTATGTGGAGTTGCTAAATACCTCAGCAAAGAGGTATTTAACAGGTCTTAACCTGGGACCAACAATATGATAAAGGCAGGCCTTGATGGGGAGATCTTCTTAGAATTTGGGGGCTCCCACACAGAAGGCCCTGCTTCTTGTTGCCACCAGCTCAGCCTCACTTGGAGATGGCATTTGGAGGAAGGCCTCTGAGAGCAGGATTTCAGCTTAGAGCCCAGCTAAGTCCTTGGCTTTGTTTCCTGCATCTACAAAAGGAAAATAATAGTGACCTGTCTCCCAGAGCTCTTGTTAGAAGACCATTCCAGAATAAATTCCACCGTCTGCTTCTGTGGAGAATCCACACTCGTTTGCTTGACTCAGTCTCATCTCCTGAACCAGGGAATTACTTTCAAGCTTAAAAGTGGACTGCAAGAAAGCAAGGTGACTGAACTGCATTTCTCTCAAAATTGCTCCTTTTAGAAAATGGATTTTTTGTAAGCAACCCAATTAGGAGTGGAATACTCTCCCGGGGACCCATCACAGTTAATACGAGTATGTCACCATTTGGTGGAAGCTTGGTTACTGCAGGGAAGCCTTGGATGGTGCGTGATGGCCAATGTACGCTTGATTGCGTGGGCTAGTTTTGCTGCTCTTGAGAGTTAGTTTGTGTTGTTAATTTCTGCTTTTACACATTTTGCTTTGTTTCATTGTCATTTTGGGATTCTTGTGCTGTTAGCTACCTGGACGTCCTTTAAAAAAGTGGGATTTACATTTTAGAGTAAACATTTGAGGTCAAAAGAAGGTGTAAGATAAGAGAGAATGGCAACCCTGTCCATTTTCTCCCTTTTCAGTTAAGTGGAAAGATTGGAGAGGGAAGCTAAAGTGTGTATTTGAGCATTCCGATTCAGTTCTTCATGAGAAGAATTTGACTCATAACGATGCATTGGGTTTTCCAAACACACGTTCTTGTTTTCCATCAATTGCTCCAAAGGTTTTCCAGGGAAATGGCAGATTCAGAATGCACTTGCTGCTTCTCTGCTGGTTGCTTTGCAGCAGGACTGAACAGACGTGGGCACCAGAATGCTTCTGAGTATTTGGTGCGATGGCTCAGCCACTGTGTAGTACAAAAGGTCCCCACTTTCCACCCTACACATGGTATTAATATTCCCCATACCTGATTTCATTTTAAGGGCAGAGGGAATCTCAGTTTGGAAGAGGTTTGGAAGCTTCACCCCCATTTGGAACAAACCTCAAAAGCAGCATAGCTGGATAGCTAATTATTTGCTTTTGTCCTTCCCTTACAAACAGCAATCCAGTAAAAATCTGGGAAAGGGCTTCCTGGTTTTCTGATTTCTCAGCTTTTTTAGAATCTAAAGAAAGCATCCATTGCCCTTCAGGTGTGTGAAGGTTGGCTATAGATGGCTCTCTGGATGCAGAAGGTTTTGAATGTCATCTCTGGGTTCTCCAGGCAGATCTGGGAAAGGTTCTGGCTTTGGAGACCACATCTCTGTCATGCTGAACACCAGGACGAATCCCCCTCTGGCCTGTAGAAGTGTCCTCCCAGACCCAGTGTCTTCTTCCATGACGAGACAAAGCCAATCTTTCCCTAGTCTCAGGAGAGAAGACCACACTCCTATAACCTATCAGAGATAAGAGCTGAGATTCTTAGCAGTTCAGGAAAGACTTTCCTTTTCTCTGGGCAGAAAGGGGCATGGCATAGTCATTCCTTCTCCACTTGGCATGAAGAAACGCCCGAAGGATGTCAGGGCAGGTCTTCTGCAGGAAGAAGTAAGGATATGTGCCATCTAAGCCCCTGGGGTGTGAGCTGGAGAGCAATCTGACCCCTCTGGGAGAGCAAGTTCCCCACTGAGCAAGAGAGACCCATGGGAATGCAAAGGAACTTCCTTTGTTCTTGTTTAAGTGTTTGTTTAAACTTAAGTTTAAGTTTAAAACTAAAGCAATTGAGAACAAAACCTGATTTGCATCAGCTCTTTCCGACAGCTTCCTGTTGTTCTGTAATGCAATATTGCACAGAAATCTGGATTCTCACCAACTGCTCTTCTGAATCATTCCCGTCCCCTGCGTTCTTGAACAGACCATTGTCTTCTCCTAAGTCATCCTGTTTGATGACTGTCCAGTGCACCTTTTCTTCCTCTTCATCACGTTCAGCTTTTCATAGGCTTATCTCCTCTTTTGCTGACTTATTTCCAAACATGCCACACATAGTGATACAATTCAGTGGTCCATAATGATTTTACCCAGCCTGGGTCATCGAATTATTAACAGGAGCACTCACATCCATCCCATGCCACCATCTTTGCTCCGCCTGCCCTTTAAAATGATCAAAAGTGCACTGAGATGAGCTTGCTCATTCACGAATGCTCTTCTCCCTTCCGTCACAGTTATTCCACTCCTATCCTCCAGCGGTATCAGGGATCCCACCTATGATTCCTCCCACTGGGCCTTTTGGTTCACTCCAAGGAGCATTTCAACCCAAGGTAAACTGAGACTGTGTTTTGGGTGCCCCTTCTTCTTGTGGAGCTGGGATCATGGGATGCATAGCCAGAAGCATGGCTTCTAGATCGAGAGAGGTGTTACTGCCACTCTGTATGACTCTGGTTGCCTGCAGCTGGAGTATTGTGCTCACTTCTGGGCCCCTCATTACCAGAGGGATATAGCAAGGTTGGAATCAGTGCAGTGAAGGGCCACTAAAAGGCTGGTTTGCATGGGAAGCCATGTGAGGACAGACTGAGGGAGCTGGGTCTTCTCAGCCTTGAGAGGAGGAGACCGAGAGGAGACCTGTTAGTGACATGGAGGTACATGAGGGGGTGCCATGAGGAGGTGGATCATGACCGTTTCTCCCCTGCAGTGGAGGGCAGGACGTGTTCCAATGGAGCCAAGCTCAGGGAACCAAGGTTGAATTTGGATGCCAGGAAGTACTTCCTGATGGCTAGGACCCCCAGGGTGTGGAATGGACTTCCATGGGAGGTGGTTGAGGCCCCATTGGTGAGGGTGTTCAAGGACAGGCTGGACATGCACATGGTGCGCATGTCGTGAGCGGAGCAGGCTGCAGCCTGGGGTCAGACTAGATGGCCCAGGGGGTCCCTTCTGACTCGCTCTGTTTCTGTGTTCCTATGTTGTTGCTGCAGGCATATGGGTGGGGCAGAAGCGTGTGGGTGGGACAGATCAGCCCCTGATGGACGTTCATCAGCATCTGATAGCGTCACAAAGAATCTACAGTGGTGGGAACAGCAGGGGTTGTTCTCATTGCCTTCTTCTTGTGTCCCATCACTTTTGAAAGGTGACCTCAGAGCAGAATTGATTTTTGTCATGTTTGAATATACATTTGTATGACTAGTGCTTGTATGTGCTTCTGTTGTCGATCACTGACCCCCACAGACTTCGAATCCAATTGATGTTGCAACGAGGCCTGGTGCTGTCCCACATACCCTTCTGCAGAAAGATCCCAGGGTAAGTTCTCAAGTGCGGCAGCTTCTGCAAATCAAACACCATTGAAGCTAATGACCTAATGAGGTTGAAATAGTCCAGATGCAGGGAAATTAGAAAGGGTGCAGAGGAGGGCAAGAAAAAATGGTCCAAGGTTTGGAAACACTGCCCTGTGAGGAGAGTCTGAGAGAACTGGGCATGTTGAGAAGAGAAGACTGAGGGGGAACATGAGATCCCTCCATAAGTACCTCAAAGGCTGTCACAAAGAGGAAGGTCAAGATCTCTTCTACTGATACCAGACTGTAGGACACAGAATAATCATTTCAAGTTGCGGCAACCCAGATTCAGGCTGGGCATCAGGAGAAGCTTCCTCACTGTCAGTGCAATACGACAGTGGAACCAGCTGCCTGGAGAGGTGGGGGGCTCTCCCACACTGGAGGCATTCAAAAAGAACTTGGGACAGCCATCTGAGAGGGATGGTGTGACTTGATGTCCTGCAACAGCAGAGGTTGGACTTGGTGGCCTTCATGGTCCCTTCCAACTCTGCTATTCTATGATTCCACTTTTCCTACCTTCTAATCATTGTGACCCCTGCAAAATACTTTCTGAGCTTAAGTTTAGAAAGGTTAGAAGGTAAACCGCCCCTGCCCCACCCCCCCAATGGGGACATAGTCAGCCTTGCAAACTTACCAGGGCCCTATCTGAGGTATGCATGGTAGCCCACAGGTGCTTCAGTGGCAGGTGGAGCTTCATGCTGGATTACAGGGCTTTGTGTAGGTCTGTGCACAGCTGCACAAATCATTTCAGCCCAGGGGACACATTCTATTTAGAGCAACTCTCCATGGTTGCGTTTGTGTGGTGGACAGATCGAAACACAAAAGGGTCTGGAAGAAAAACACCCACATAGCTTAGCTTAAGGCTCTTATTAAATCTTAGAAGAAGGCTTTCAACCATTTAGAAAGAGGGGAGAACTTCACAAAAGAGGGGGAACCAGCAAATGATTGGTGCTTGGGGAAAAGAGAAGGCCTTCCTGGTTGGGAAGGTTCCATGTTTACAAAAGTGCTAGTTGCCCATTGGGGGAGCTACAGGTGAGTAGGAAGGCACAGGGCAGGTACCGGTCAGTTTCCAGGAATGGCAGTCAAGGGGCCAATCCAATCCAATCCAAGCAAGAGAACCAAATGATTCTGTGATTCGCTTTCAGAAAAAAAGCATCCCCCAATAAGCCATTCCTTGGGATAACCAAAATATGTATCTCCAAGGTCCACCTTTGGGTAGATAGGACCACTGGGCTGGCATTGGATGATTGGCTTGCTATCAGTGTACAGGATCAAGGCCACAGCATGTCACACCCCTTTCACTCTCCGTGCATTGAGTGGAAAATTTTGCCACCAGCTGCATAGGTGCCCTGCCAGCTGGGAAGACCTTGTGGTCTGGATCTTCAGGCAAGCATCCACTCCAGTGTAAGGACCCCTTTGGAATAGTTCACGGGTAGGGAAGGCCTAGGACAGCCTTCCTGGAGGTGTTTTGGACAGCAATTCCCAGGCTGCTGGACAATAAACGTGCTGGCCGGGGCTGATGGGGATTAAAACCTGCAACAGCTGGAGAGCATCTGACAGAGGAAATTCTCCGTAGAGGAATGGACAAGAAAGCATCTGAACCCCCATTAATTCCTTCATGCACTTCCAGCCTGGGCAGCCCATTTGGGAAATGCTAAATATACCACATGTACATTCAGTCAGAAAGTATAAATTAAGTGTATCGCAATTGTCAAATCTGCCAGCAACAGTTAAGAATGCTCTAAGCAGGTGCTTTGTTAAGCTGTCACACGCAAGATAGAATTCAGTATAATACATGCTTGAAAGTCCTAGATCATTTGAATCAGATCACCTTCAAAGACTAAATAAAGCTTCACTCAGTATTGGCCATCATGAAAGCAATAATTTGATTTCTTTCAGAGCCCCTCTAATTTTCTACCATTACTTAATGTCATATATTTATGCATGTAGTGTAGGGTACCATAAAATTAACTACTGAGCTGTTTGTACTTTGTTTTTGAAAGCTACAGCAGGAAGCTAACTGAAAAGTCAGAAAAAAATGACAATATACTGAAGATTGAATTGGCTGGCAGAAGCCAGGAATCAATCAGTATTTTTGTGTTGTTGCTGTGTTCCATTGAGTTGTCTCTGACTAAGGGCAACATTGTCTTGTCAACTCAAGGCTGTGCCTTCCCTTATGGACTTGATCCAATTCCAAGTTGGTCTTCCTTGTCCAAGTCTAGCTTCCACTTTCCCAGCATGATTGTCTGCTGCAGGGAGTCTCACATTATCATGGTGTGTCCCAAGTACAACAGCCCAAGTTTTATCATTTTTGCTTCCAGGGCAAAATTTTCTGTGAAAATCGGTCTTTCTAATGTGAGCTGATGCATTGCCAGTCTGTGACATTTTCTCAAAATCCTATAAGAAAGTGACTCCAAACTTGTTCAAAAGGGGAGGAAATGGCATTAGTCACTGTTCTTCGTCTACTAGCAATTGTGCAGGATGGGGAATGTTGGTCTGGGATTCAGGCGATCCGGGTTCAAGTTCTCACTCAGCCATGAAGCTCCCTGGAAGACTTTGGGCCACTCACAGAGTCTCAGCCTAATTTAGCTCACAGGGTTGTTGCTACTATATTTCTATACTGGCCAATAGCTGGAGCTTTCTGGGTGGTTTAGTTATAGTGATGAGTTAAACACAGAGAGGAGAACTTTGTCAACTGCCTTGAGGGAATAAATGTAATGCAGTAATATTCCAGCCATTTCCAAAATTCCAAATTTTCCCAGAGCTTTCTGAGTCATTGCTAAATAGTTATGGGGGTGGGGAGATCAAGTCTTCTCAACATAGTACTTTCCCCATTTTATACTCAATAGAATAATTAACGAAACAGCTCCAGGACAGAATGTTTCTTACTGGGCATGTTTCTGAGCTGCCAGCTTTGAAACAACAGAACTGGTTTCAGTTTTATTTGCAGTGCACCCCACAAAGAAAGAGGAATCGGGAGGGGAGAAATGGATTCTTAAGGAGATGGTTATGATTATGACCAACTGGGCCAGGAACATGTCAGGTATCCTGATTTTCAGCCTGTTTCTCAGCAGGGTGTTCTGGAGTAACTTTACTTCTCTTCTCTCACTATCCAGTTGAAGGGAAAGGCTTCTGCAGACAAAAAATACATATGAATTACACACACACACGCGCTCTCTCTCTCTCTCTCTCTCTCTCTCTCTCTCTCTCTCTCTCTCTCTCTCTCTAATCCTTTTCAGTTTCCCCACTCCTAATGAACTACAGATATGGGATTTGGCTGAGTGATTGTTTGAATGACTGGAGCTTTTATTTTCTCTCTTTCTCTTTCCAGTTGACAGATCCGTTCAGGCCCATGTTGAGGGTAAGGAGGGTGCAAGCCCTAATTTGATCCTTGCCTAGGAGTTGCTTACATTTTCCTATCCAAATGTCCCTCTGGATGATCTGGTTTTATTTGCAGAAAGGCACCAGTGTATTAGGAATCTTCCGCTGTTACTTTGTCTTCCCAAATTGGTAGAGGGGCAGCGCTGAGCTGACTCGCATCTCATCCCCCGAGTCCAGATGGCCAGACGTGCCAATTGGCAAGTCCAGAAGGCATCTTGATGTGAAAGAGTGCGTACTCACATCACGAGGCTTTGCGTGTGAGTGTGTGGCTTTTCCATGATGGTGCAAAAAAAAAAAACAGCGTGAGCGACTTCACTAAGCAACCTTGAGGGAGCTTCCCTTGCTCCTGCCCCTCCTCCTCTTCCTGCTTTTCAGAACCTGACTGTGACTTCTGCCGCCAGTGACTCCCAGTGCAATGAGTGAGAGGCGGTCCTGACGCAGAGAGATATGTTGGCTTGTCACACTGGTAGTATCGCAGGCGTCAGACTGGTTAACTTGGACGTTCCGTCCAACTTTAGGATCCTATGCTTGTTTTACATAGGGTGAATGTCATGAGCCTTGATGACACCCCATTGGGTTCTCCTAGAAATGACAGGTACAAAATTGGCCACTGTAGGAAACGGGGAGTAAGACTAGATGGCCTTTTGGCCCTTTCAGAAACCTCTGAAGCAGCCTCATAAGGAGAGAGCTTTTAGTGAGAAGATGGAAGGGAACGAGCTACTTGGCTCTTATGTCTTTGGGAGTTAGTTAGTTACTAGTTCCCAAAGGATGGCCCGGCTCCATGTTACAGTGTTCCTACAGGTAAGTGACATTGTTTCCATTACTTTTTGTGTTTGTTTCTTTTGTAGAAACCTGGAAAATGGTGTGCTATGCATGTGCATATTGCGTGGCAGATATACCATCATCAACAGAAGGTCAAGGTGAGTTCTTTGGACAGGTGCCCACCTCTTGAAAGAAGAAAAACCAGTGTGTCTATGGGAAAGGATCGAGCTCAATGAGAGAGAACATGGTCTGCATGGAACAAGTCCCAGGGTCCATCCTTGGCAAGCCAATTGAAAGGATCTGGTTTTATGATAGGAAAAGTTGTCTGAGGCATCGGAGAATGCCTCAGGCAACCTTTGCTGGTGTGGAATAGCCCAAACTTGTATCATGTAGCTTCTGATGAGCCATGGGTGCTGATTTCTTGATTTCTGTTTTGTATGACTAAATTACAGGTGGCCAGGTGAATGATATTCTCATGCCAGAAAGCTCACCCTTATTTTTGAGCAGCACATGCTCCTTTCACCTGATCACTCTAAAGGCTCCTTCCCCCTCAAGGCATTTCATTGGCAACCATGTGAAATGTCATGGGACACCAGCAAAGTCATTGTTGCTATTTCTCTGTAGGCCTTGCTGAGAAATCTCTGCCTTATCCATGAGTGTGTGTCATTCCCCTTCTGTTTCAGAAACAGATGCAATCAGATCCCCATAAATTGGATTTTGGCCTGAAACCTGAATTCCTGAGTAGACCTCCTGGCCCTAGTCTCTTTGGGGCGATCCACCATCCTCATGACTTAGCGCGACCATCAACTCTCTTCTCTACAGCCAGTGAGTGCCCATATTTCTGATCTGCTGTTTGTTTGGTCATGACACAGGTGGGATAAGTAGGTCCTTATTGCCAGAAGTCTTCTGAAAGGCCAGTGGAAACATGCCGAGGGAGGTCCTAACCCAGCGGTTGGCAACCTTTAACACTCAAAGAGCCATTTGGACCCGTTGCTCACACAAAAGAAAACACCGGGAGCCGCAAAACCCTTTTGACATCTAAAATGAAGATAACACTGCATATATCATTTTTTACCTTAATGCTATGTATATCTTCATTATGATTTAGCTGCAGCTCTTGTTCAGTCACTAAAAACTGTTATTTTTAATCTTGCATTATAAACTAGTAGGACTCCTTTCATACATTTTGAATAGGAGAACAGCTTCCTGAAGAGTCAACGTCAGTGCTAAAGGGCTGCATGCATAAAACAGCAAACCCCATAAGTTCGTCAGCAGTAAAAGCAAATGAATCTACCCAAGTACCATTAAACATTCGGTTTTCTTCAGAAACTTTTCTTTTCTTCGATTTATCCGTGGTTGGCCTACCGGGGTAGGGGAGGAGCTCAGTAAGTCGGCACAGGTCCACAGATCAGCGGCTGATATAGGTGTGTTTAGTGACCGATTAGCAGATAAACAGTCAAGTGCTGTGAATTGTGACAGGTCCCAAGTGCAGCTTTTAACATTCAGATGAAGGAGATTACATTGGGACAAAGAGAATCCTTTCAGCAGGGTTTCATTTTGTGTAACATGAGAGCCTGCAGGAAGCTGGTTTAGCAGAGGAATGTAGCGATTTTCTTAACTAGCTGATTTTCTTAACGAGCTAGCGCTGCCTTCCTGAGTGGAGCTTCCTTCGAGCAGATCGGCGGCTGTGCCGGTGCGTGTTTTGAGCGACGGAGCCGTGGCAGGGGGGTTCAAGAGCCATGTGCGGCTCTGGAGCCATGGGTTGTCAACCCCTGTCCTAACCTGATGGTGAGAAGGATGACACAGGATGTTAGAGAGATCTGATTGCAGTTTAGGGAAGTGGCAGGTTAGGGACAATCTGCCATTTCAGGACCTTGGATAGCTCCAGGAAGCCAATCTTGGTCTAGGACGGGGCTGAGCTAATGGTGGCCCTCCAAGCCAGGTTAGACTTCAACTCCTGTGAGTCTTGGGAGCCCATTGACAAGGGCTGATGGGAGATGCAGTCCAGCAATATTTGGAGAGCCACCAGTTGCCCATCCTTGCTGGTTCTTTCACAAAGAGCACATGCATGTGGTTGGCAGAGGATGAAGGGCCTGCTTTCCTGCAACTTGGTTCATGCACAAGTTGTTGCAAGACTGAAAGGGGGAGAAATGTGCCCGGAATTGTGCTTGGCGTGTCTCCCCACCTGGCTGACAGGTGCTGTTGCCGGGCCTGTTCTTGATTTGTCTTTGCTTTCCCTCTGCCAGGTGCCACCCATCCCACTGGCCCGCACTTCGGCCCTTCCCCACATCACAGCAACTTTCTCAACCCAGCTGCCCATCTAGGTAAGTGGAAATCATTCATAGCCCACAGTTAAGCAAAATGGGGACAGCTTTCCATGCAGTTTTGAGCGTGGTCTCAGGGTACATGGGACACACAGTTTGCCCTGAAGCCATCCAGTGCCCAAATGGGGACCTGTCTTCCTTGGCACCCCTCTGTGTTCTATGTTCTATGTGTTCTATGTGTTCAACTCCACCATGGAAAAACGGTGGGGTACAAATGTAATAATTAATATGTGACAGGCATGGCCGAGCTGGTGCCAATCTGAGTGGGGAAGAGGTTCTTTGGAATCTTGGTGTGGTGGAATAAACAATAAACAATGCAATAGTGAATAAATTCATAATGGGTTTGCAACACTCCTCCTCCAGTTTGCTAAGAAGATGGCCTTGGGGATGCATCGTGAAATGCATCTGATCCCCAAAGCTTTTGAGTATTTGGGACTGATGTGAACGAGTGCATTGGGTTTCTATTTTTTATTCAGAATAACCACAACCACTGCAAAGTTATTCTGCTTACAGACAAACCCAGAATCTAATTTTGAATACCAGAGCCGTGAATCTGTCTGAGTTTGCCAGCTGGCCATTCTTAGCATGCCTAAAAGCAGTTTTAAAACTGCCTTTTGGTAAATTGTTTCATTCACAGCAAGGGGCTCGTGTACATATTCTTCCTATCGGACCAAAACATGGGTTGAATGCTATAGGGCCGTGCTTTAGGCTGCAACCCAAACAAATTACTCAGGAATAAGCAAGACTTCCAAGTTCGCATGCTTAGCACTGCATAACTGAAAATACACGAGGTTTACAGCAAACGTTTTAAAAGGTAAATTTATAAGAAGATTTCTCTTTGCTGAAACTGTGTGGGGAATTCTTATCCTGTGAAGTTTTCCACACCCCAAAGAGCAGTATGGCCATCCCTTGATGACAATTGTCCTCTCATTTGTGCTCAGGTCAGTCACCTAAACTCAGAAGCTCACTGTCACATCTGGATTATTTTAAAGTTGGAAGGAAACTTGGAGGGCATCGCCTTCCTCACTCCATGCAGGAATCTTGCCGCTGCAGAATCCTTTACAGACAGCTGTCCACCCTCTGCTTAAACTCCTCAGCAAAAGAAAGCCCGTGGCCACCTGCAATTTTTCTGCAACAAATGAACAGGCCTTACAGCTGAAAGCTACTCCTAAAGTTTAGCTGAAATCTGCTTCCCTGCCATTTTCTCCCATTTGTGTGCCAAATCAACAAAAAATGCATCCATTTTTTTCTTCTTTGTGGTAGGCCTTCAGATGCAAATCCGTGGTGTGAATGGGATCTTGCTTCAAGAGGACTGATATTTTGTCTTCCCCTCCTCCTCCTCCTCTTTTTGCTGTCGGTCAACCAACAATTATTTGCAATAGATTTGAAAACTGAGAATGCATTGTCAAAAATCAACAAAATTAGCAAGTTAAAAACAGGAAAGATGCAATACCCTCTCCTTTCAAATGATAACATGCTAGGAATTCTTTTTTAAAGGTTTGCTCTCATACTGAAAAGACATTAGCAGTGCAATCCGAAGCATGTTCATTTTGAAGTTAGTTCCATAGAGCTCAGTATCTCTGTAGTAAGCATTCTTAGAGATGCAACCTTAAGTTTTATCCCATAGGAAACAAATCTGATTCATGCATAGCCTGAAGTGCCTGATTCTGCCTAATTGTGTAAGCTAATCAAGGTCAGGCCTGGTTGAAATCTGGATGGGGGACCTAAGGTTCTGAACTTCCCCAAAGGCTTTGACTATGGGCAATATAGAAATATAGTAATGAAACTGATATATATCCATCTATGTCATAATCTCCCTTATCCCATTTTGTATTTCTGGGTTTCCTGGTGCCTTTAACTATTTCTTTTCAAGCGTTATGCAGAACTGTGACTGGATTCCCTGAAGTGGGCAAAATCAACAAAACCCAGAGTTTTGCCAGTGCAAAAATGACCCACCCTTGCAATTCATAATTTCTACTGGCGAGAACTCTAGCTTGGGGTGTTCTACCCCACATTTTGGTGGGGCAATCCCCATTTCATCTGTATTTACTAAAATCTCAGATAGGAAGGGCATGTTTTCCTTCGTGCTGTTGTAAGGATTTGCAGTTTTTAATTTGTTTTAAGATATTTCCTTTCTTTTGTTTTTCTGTTGGGCTTCTGCCTTTTTGGTCATGCTGTCATGCACATTATCCAGTTTTGGCAATTGCAAATCTGGAACTCCTACTAAAAGACCAGCACAGTGCAGCCCGAGGGGTAGCAGAAATGACCGCAGTGGAGAGGATATCAAAGCCCTGATCTGGGGGACTTAGAAGGCAGGATAATAACTGTAGCACCAGTTCCGGGAACAACTGCCACCCAAAGAGACCATGCACCCAAGTTCTCTGGGAGCGATTCTGGGAAACCTTCTGTGTCCAAACTCGGGATATCTTCAGAACACCCTTACATGTAGCAATACTGCTCTGTCTTGGGTAATTCCCTTCCCATTAGCATCTTTCCCTTTGGTTTCAGAGACTTTTAATCGGCCCACGACGTTCACCAGTCTTGCAGCCGTGAGTGGCACTGCCTTCGGGGGACTCGGGAACCCTGCCGTTAGTGAGTAAATTCTCCCCCGGCTCTCGCTGTGTTGGGCTGTTCAGATGACCACTGAGGGCACTAAAGCAGGGCATGCGTCTCCAAATCAGAAGAAACTGGGGTGCCCCTGGACTCTCCAAATCCTCTTCCGTGGGCTTGTTTTCACAGAGGTGATACATAGGAAACCCCCTTGACATGCTAGTCTTCTGCAGGCAGGGATGTATTTGCATATTTATTGCATATTTTATGCAAAGGAGCATTAGTCATTTTGAGCCCACGTGGTTTGGAAGTAGTGAAGCTGAATAGAACTCTGCTTAGTTTGCAAAAGCAGAATCCCAGCCATACGTGAGGCTGATTGGGAATTTGTTTAGAAGCATTGACCACAGAAGCTGGTGTGGGTGGACCTTCTAGAAGTCAATTTCTCCTCCTCAGCCTTGCCCAACTTTTACAACAGCCCAATATTATTTAGTCAAGTAAATAAACAAGTTCATGTAAATAATTCCAAAAAGAAGTAATTGTGAATGTCCAACAGATCATACAGGAGACTTTTCAGAGAGCAGACTCTCCCGAAAGCAAAATGATATATGATTTTTAAAAGTAAGCAGGTCCTAAATTATTTAGGATTTTACTTGTCAATAGTGCTCCCTTAAACCTGACTGGGTAGGACATCCAGTTCCTCCAGGCCTGGTACCACAAATGCAAGGCAAGACACTCCCCATGGCAGTCTCCCGGTGGCTTTCTGCACTAGCCAGATCTTCCGAAGCAACTTCAAGGGCAGCCCAAGATAGAGAGCATTCCAGTAGTCACGTGGTTAAGGTATTCCCATCTATGAATGGGTGGAATTGACCCACTGTGAAAAGGCACTTGTGAGCCGCAACAGTCTCTTGAGCCTTCAAAGCCAAGATGCTTCTAGGAGCACCCCAAACTTTGTGCCTGCTCTTTTAGGGAGAGTGCAACCTCATCTAGAACATAATTTTTCTCATTTCTGGACCATGGACTCACTTGCCTCAGGTTCTCCATCTTACTTTATTGGCCAACATTTTAAATATTTATATTTCTATGCCACCTTGCCTGCTAAGAAAACATCAGGATGGTGTTCATCAATTTAAGGTCCATGCACTGCTTCTTCACATGGCTTCACAGTTAGACAGTGGAGCAAGATATGGTGCAAGCCCTCGCTTAGATAGCTTTAAGAGAGGACTCAACGAGTTCATGGAAGATAAGGCTATCAATGGGTATTAGTCAAGTTGGTTGGATATTATATCCAGGAATGGAAGCAGTATAACTCTGAACACCAAAGGGAAGGTGTGTGGAAAGGTGTCGCCTTCACACTTGTAGCCTTTGCACAGACATCCGGTTGGCCAAAGCAGGAACAGAAATCTGGACAAGAAAGACCTCTCAAGCTGACATTCTTATCTATGTTTCTTTGCTAGGGCCTCCTGGGGGAAATGGCATAGATGGTTGGGAGGTAAAATGAGAGACCATCGGGCAAGCGAGTGGATTTTTCCCCACTGGCTCTGTTCAAAGAAGTAGCAGCTCAGATTCTAATCCGAGCTAGAGAAGAGGGTTTCTAATGCATTACTTTCTTCTGAGAAAGGTATTACTAAACTGCCAGGGTTGAGCAAACCCATAATTTGCCCATGTCTCTGCTAGATTTTCCAGTGTATAGCAAGCCATTATCTGGAGTCACAGTGAAGAATTCTCAAACATAACTTAGCATCCCCAAATCAACTGGAAGGAGCTAATTTGTTAGCCTGGCCAAGTAAAATTAGTTCTGTGGATCAACTGGAAACATGGTGTTGGATACTCTAGTTTGAGAAGACTGGAGCTCCCAAAGTTTAGAACAGCAGGGATGGATGGAAGGATGGATTAATGGATCTCTAACTATTATTTTAAGTAAAATAGAAGCCTTGTTTGTTGACTCAAAAATGATCACACATTTGATTTGTACACACTTGATTCTTCTCCATGTTGATATAACCTAACATAAACAGATTTTATGAACATTTTGTTAATCTTGGAAAAATGTGGTACTTTCCCAAGCCATGGAAATAGAAAAAGAGTTTGTGTGCAAAAAGGGGAATCTGTCAAATCCATAAATTTTGGGAAAGTTACATAATTGCTATCCGGGAAAAGCCGTATTAGTGAACAAGATGAAAAAAAGCCTTCCTTCTGGTTGAAAACTGGAAAGGGGCCTCCAAAATTTCATTTGGCCATGAAAAGGTCCTGCTTTTTTGAGGTGGAAAAAAGGCACAATTCCATAACTCTTGGACAATGTATGGGCCATTGAAAGAGTTTCTTTTGAGGAGGAGATTCATAAATCAAGGAATGGATGGCCGAAGGATGGCTCAAAAGAATCTGAGTGTCTGTCTGTACGTGAGAATAAATCTCATCCATTGAGCCAGTTGCGCATCTATTTCCTCATTGGCATCCTTTCAGAATCCCCCTGGCCCTCTATCCTGAGCTGCCCGTTCTGATCTACTCTTCTCAAGGGCTTCAAGAGACATCTTGCCCCATTGCTCTCTGGACACTTTTGATCTGAGATCTTTCTTCAGTGAGTCCATATGTCCATTTCTAGAGTTTTTTCACAATCTTTCAGGCTAAGACTTCAGGAGCCAAAATTATCTAGTGATGGGAATGGTGGCTGAATTTTGCCCAAAGAGTAACAAGATAATGAGCCAGAGGTAGTGAAGGAGTTTGTTCACATGTGTGAAGCAGGTTTTCTCCCACCTATCAAATGAAAGACCTGGAAAATGCAGAATTCAAACAAAGATGGAATGGAATGAAAAGGAATAGAATCAGTAAGTTGAGAAAGGTAGTCACAGAAATCACAATAATACCAATGATAATTCAAAAGCCCAGGACTTTGTCTTTTGGGAACAATGGGCTTTGTGCCTTCAGGACATTACGTCTCTCCCCTGGAATGTTCACCTGGCCCCCTCCTCATGCTTTTTCACCGTTTTGGAGGGCTTGTGGGAATTCATGTTCTTATGTTCCTCTTATGCTAATGTTGTTCTGACCCTTCCCTGAGCTTTCCATACTCTCATGACTATTTTTAATAGCATTTGATAATTTTTCCGGAAATTTTACTACTTCTGTTCTATCAGCTGCTCATCAAGAACCAGAAAAAGAGCCATGTTTGTAAAAGTCTTAAAAATTATTTTTTCCTGAGCCCCGGAACCTTCTGCCTGACATAAAGACTGTCAAATAAGTCTAGGTTGTTGGCTGTTTTTCTGCATTTTTGCATTTTATGAGCTGCTTTCAATGCCATTTTTCTTCACTGCAAACTGGCAATAAATATTTTTGTGTCACTAACATTTCTCCACCCAACCACCTTTTTCTTTTTCTTTTTTTCTTTTTCTTTCTCAAACTGCAGAAATATTACACCCCTCTTAGTTAAATCAGTTGCCTCATCTGTGTTAAGGCTGAGTGCTAATGCTTATCTATTAATCTCCTTTCCTTTTCCAGCAATCCATAATAGGTATTCATTTTAAACTCTGAGTGCTGTAAAAAATAAAAGTTGGGTTTGCCTGGTAAGTACCACCAACTGAACATCTTGCTTTCTTCCCCTCCCCACTTCGCCATTTCAGCACCCAACTCTATGTTTGGCCACAAGGATTGCCCCAGTATGCAGAATTTTAACAACCCTCACGAACCGTGGAATCGTCTGCACCGAACACCACCATCGTTCCCGACTCCTCCGCCCTGGCTGAAGCCAGGTGAGCTGGAACGCAGTACATCTGCTACAGCTCATGAGCAAGATAGAGATGTAGATAAAGGAGACTCTTCTGTTAGTAAAGAGGACAAAGAAAGGTATGAAAGCGCACTTTCTGAGCATCGTTGAGTGCAAAGACGGGCGGGAGCCATGGAGATGGACATGCCTCTCTGATGGGGGAAGTGTTTTTTATTCACTTGGGAAAACGTGAATACGTATTCTGGGAAGCACGAGGAACACTTTTCCAGCCCCCTCTAAATCTAGCTTTCCCCCTGATGCTCGGACATTTTTTCCTAGGTGGAAGGTACTCAGTTCAGACAACGTTCTCCAACCCAAATTCTGTAGCCCAGAAGGTCTTTATTTCGGGATTAGACTGAGGCTGCAATCCTGCATCTATTTGTCTGGAATTGGCCCTGTTGAACTCAGTTGGATTACTTCAGATTAATAATCACATATGCAGATTGGCTCATGGACTGATCTATGAGTATAATTTGTATATATCAACTTGCTTGTTTTCAAGCAGATCCAAGTAGTTCGGAGAATGGGGACTAGCTTTTGCTTTTAATCTACAGGGAGCTTTTCTAGAACCAAGGTTGTTAGGTCTGGGGATCAGCAGCTGTTGATGAAGGTTGGACCTTTCCAGATCATGGGGAGGAAATGGGTAGCCCTCCTGATGTTGTTACACTCTTTCATCACTGGCCATTGTCCATGTTGGCTGGGGATGATGGGGAGCTGAAGTCCAACAACCCATGAAAAGGCTTGGAGATATAGGGTCGGTGTTACAAGATCCATAAACCAGTTGCAGTCTCTCCTTTCCATGGTATCCAGGAATGCATAACCTTCTGTGCTTTGATATTGCCAGGGAGGGAATTGAGAAAAGACACGCAAGCCATCCTTCCCCAGCTCCTCTCCATTCCGTGAGTGCCCTCGGACACAGCCGCAGTGCAGCTGAGCCCATAAGGAGCCACCTGAACCCAGAAGTTCGGGAGAAGGAAAAGACAAAAGAGCGAGAAAGGGATCACTCCGAATCTCGGAAAGAGGTGGGTGTGGATGAGCCCAAGGCAAAGGACAACTATATTTCAGAGAAAGAAAGTCTGACCCATGAGAGCAGGCCACTGGAAGAGTCCAAGCAAGTGTCTCGAGTCCCTTCACCCTACACCAGGCCACCTGTGGTGGAGAACACCAGACCTAACAGTACCTCCAGCCGAGATGCTGAGAAGAAGAGTGACCCAGCTTATGAAAACCTGAAGAAATCCAGTGAAGTCAAAGTGAAGGAAGAAAGGAAGGAGGACCATGACATCCCACCAGAAGCACCCCAGACCCATCGCTCGTCTGAGCAGCCCCCTCCAATGCCCCCATCCGGTGTCCACCCAAGCCCTTTGGTGTCCATGCCCATGACGGTGGGCGTCACAGGCATCCACCCCTTGAACAGCATCAGTGGTCTAGACAGGACTCACATGATGACGCCCTTCATGGGGATCAGCCCCATCCCAGGCAGTGAACGTTTCCCATACCCTTCCTTCCACTGGGATCCCATGAGGGATCCTTTACGGGATCCCTACCGAGATCTGGACATCCACCGGAGAGACCCTCTGGGGAGAGAGTTCCTCCTAAGGAATGACCCATTGCACCGTCTCTCCGCTCCGCGGCTCTACGATGCCGAGCGGTCTTTCAGGGACAGAGAGCCACACGACTACAATCACCACCACCACCCCCTGTCCGTCGACCCCCGGCGTGAGCACGACCGGGGGGGGCACCTGGACGAGAGGGAGAGGCTGCACCTGCTCAGGGAGGACTGTGAGCACGTGAGGCTTCATGCGGTCCATCCAGCAGCGCTGGAGGGCCACCTGCCTCACCCGCGCTTGATCACGCCCGGGCTTCCCAGCATGCACTACCCCAGAGTGAGCCCTCCGTCGGGACTGCAGAATGGGATTCTCAATAAAACGCCCCCCACGGCAGCTCTGAGTGCACCCCCCCCTCTCATCTCCACACTGGGACCTCGGCCCAGCTCTCCCCGCAGGACTACCCCTCTGCCGACCGAGATCCGGGACAGACCTCCTCCCCATACGCTCAAGGACATAGAAGCGCGGTGAGGCCAAGAAGTGGATTGCTCCGCATCCAGTCTTCTTACTCCATAAATGTAGACTTTTGTGATGACCCAAATGTACAGAATGTATAGATGCAAACGTGCAGAGATATTCTTTTGTTCTTTTTTTAAAGAAATGGCTGGATTGTATATTCTATGTTGAAGACAGTTTTCAAAACTTTTGGAGAAAAGTTGGTGCATTTCTTACTTATCCTATGCTGTTCGATCATTTTGAATTTCTGCAAGGAGTTCTAAGTCAGTACTTGGGCTACAAGCAAATGAAGTTCTTTTTCTTTCTCTTTTTCTCCCCAGCTAGAATAAAGGAAACCATAGATTTTGGTTGGGGGGTAGAAGGAGGGTCATTCTCTCTCTCTCTCTCTCTCTCTCTCTCTCTCTCTCTCTCTCTCTCTGTAAGAGTCTTTTTAAAACAAATAAAAACAGATATATTAATTCATGGGTTAATGGGTCATATATGCAAACTGGGTAAGATGAAAGCTTTACTTTGTAAATATGTAAATAGAGAAAGTTAAGTAACATAATACATTAATACTTCTTAAACCACACCCTTGGCTGACTTTAATCGTGTGGAAGGCCACGCTGACTTTTAAGAAAGCTAAACTCCTTCAGCTATGCAATGAATTTTAAGACTTTTCACAAAAGCCTCTTTAACTCAAAGGCGTTTTGTTAACCACACACTTAAAGTCATACTTTCCCCAAGCAAACTCACACTGTTAACTTTTTGATAAAGAAATAAGCCATCAAAATCCAGGATTTCTCCTTCAGCAGACACACCTTTCCGTACCAGCTGTTGCTTACTCTTTCTAGCTAGAGCTTTTCTGTTCCAAAAGTGTTCTGGAGTATTTGATCTTATAATCTTAATAACCTTAATTCATCCTCTTAATAACCTCTCCTAGGTCACGTTGATTCACATTTTACAATTTGGAACTGAGTCAGGGACAATAGCTTGTCCAAACCCCCAAATGAATCCTTAGCCAGGCACAGCTTGAGCTTGTGACTCCAAGAGCCAAAACTCAGCTTTCTGTACACGGCATTCCTCTTTTATAGTACCCCATTTCTTTTCTATAAAGGCTGATCTGTACCATAAAACTGTGTGTTTCTCTCCACTCAAAGTGGCATCTTCAAATCTCTGGTCCAGACATGGTGGCCAAAATCCCTGGGCTAAGGTGCTCCACTCACTAGTTCAAGAAAGTGGACATCTGCTGGGGGTTAAGAAGTCTCCGCTTGTGTAATGCTGCAGACAATTCCTCCTCAGCCCTACCCTTCTCAGCATGCCACTGTCTCTGGTATCTAGAGCCATTTTCCCCCCAAAAATGGTGCTACACAATGGTACGTGCCGTGAGGTAGAGATGCGTACATGCAGAAAACCCAAGACCCTAGATTTGAAGGTGTTGCCTTGGTCCTGGCACCCATATTTAGCTTTTTGTTGTGTTCACATCACGGATTATAATAACCACAGCATCTGAACTTGCTACCCAAAAGGAGATGGTCCTGCAGTGCCCAGGAACAAGATACAAAATAGATAGCGGAAGGGATCCATTGGTGTCGTTTCCTTTCTTACAATGTAACCTTGCTCACATCTTCTGGAGGTGATTGGGCTTTATAGTGGCTGTTTGCACATGGGTTTTGTAGTCATGTTTCCTTGCAATGTCTAAATGCCATACGGTACAAGGGTGTGGCCTATGGGGTCTGGAGTGGTAGCTTTTCATAGAACTGTCTGGGAATTTGGGGTGCCGTTCACATTTGGGAAGACGGACAGCACTCCTTTCTGGTGGCCAGTTTCTTCTTGTCTCATGCTCTCTGTGTAAGACTGTGATCCTCACCCACTTACTTGGGAATAAGCCCTGTTGAATTCACTGGGACTTCTAAGAAGACCTTCCTTGGAGCGTGCAACAGACTTTTCATAAAAATGTCTGCACTGTGTATTACTTTTTCTCCCATTCCAGCAGCTTTCCCAAACTGACACCCTCCAGATGTTATTTTGGATACACTACCACAATCTACCACCAGCAAGGCCAGACCTGTGCTGCAGATGATGGTCATGGCAATCAAACACATCAAGGGACTCAAAACTGGGGAAAGGTGAACGACAGAATTTTATTTTTTGCTTACACTGAATGTGACTAGCCCAACTTGTTTAAAGCACAGAGAAAATGGCACCTTTCTCTCTCTCTCTCTCTCATATATTCAAGCATGTTTTCTCCCATGTGTGAGGAATAGAAAGCAGCATTGTTTTCCTTGCCGTTAGAACATGTTAGACTGGTCACATACATTTTAATTTAAAAAGTCCCTGTCATTTACCTTTCTCCCATCTATCCAGAGATGTATGTGTGTATTTGGTTGCCTGCACACATAACAAAGACTCTGAATTGATTTTGGCCCCTTTCAGAGCTTCTGATGCGAATGTGTCTTGGTTCTTTTCATCTTTAATCTTTTGCTCTCTTTGGGAATAATTTGGAGAAAATATGACTTTATCAAAAACCTACACCACCTTGCATACTACTGGATTGTAAAAATATGTGTCAGAATAAATAAAATAGTTGCATCGGTCTTCTAGTGTATTAAAGTGATATCTCAAATTGTTTTCGTGTTTTAACAAAATGAAGAAAAAGGAAGTCTAATTACAGACACAGCTGTTTCTAATGATCAGAAATCTATTTTAGTAGTCAACTCAAAAGTTTTAGTTGTGAACTTCAGGTTTTGTGAACTCCAGATGTTGTGCAGTGTTTTTTTTAAGAACAAGACTAAATGAACAAAAAAAAAAAAAAGCAAGAACCCCGAAAATAGCCTATGTACACCGGGCAGCGTAGTGATAGTTTTCAGTATTGTAAAGAAGCTGTTATATACAACTCTTTTGCTGTTTCTGCTGTATGTAATAAAGTCCTTTCTAGATCCTATGTTGAAAAGGAAAAGAAAAAAAACCCGAAGCGACATTCAATCCATGGCATGTTTCCTCATGAGCAAAGACTTGTGTAATGTAACCCTGTACCATGTTATTAAAAAATGTGAACTAAACTGGCAAGCGATCTTCTTTGTTTGGAGCGATCCTCATCAGAAGACTTCGGTTCAGGTTGGTTGGTGCCCATAGGCCAGGGATGGACCTGTGGACGGCCAAACCTGGCTGGACTACAACTCCCATCATTGGCCGTGCTGGCTGGGGCTGATGGGGTGTTGAGTCCAACATCCGGAGAGCCACAGGTTCCCTACTCCAGCCCTAGATAGAACCATCATCCCCCTTATTTTCATCATGGAGGTAGAAGGCTTATACATATATTGGATGGAATGGATTTTGTTCATTTTTTCATTTGCATCTCAAGGTGTGGAGTTGCTGGAGAAATGCTGTATGAACTGGAATACTCCTGCGTTTCAGAGAATGAACGTTTCATAGTTTCCCACTGTTACGTCTTCAGCGGCGCAAGTCTCATTTCTGTGTGTTTTTGGTCGGTATCCTGATTCTACCTTCAGAGAGGTAAAGATTGTGCTTGTGCACGTTTCAAAGGTTATTGCTCTTTGTGGTTAGGCTGCCCCCCACTCCCCAAAATTTAAATCTCGGAGTAAGTGTGCAGGATCGGTGCCAGCCTGAAACTCAGGGAATGCCCCTATGCCAACTTGACTCGCTATTGGTCCATCAAAGTGCCAATTCTTTGCTCCTACCTTCAAGCACTCCTTCCTTCCTGCAGATGTGTTTACCTAGCAGAGTTCCACGTAAGGATCAGGCCCACGTCTCCTAAAATATATCCTTCCAAGCTTGTTGCCTTAGAACTGGAAGAAGAGGTGGGGCTGGAATTCTTAGCTGGAATATCCAGGCCAGAGAGAAACTCAAAGGCCTGTAAGACCCAAGCCATGTCTGCTTTTCTGGGGAGCTCTGTTCTGGCCATAGATTCCGAGATCAAAGAGCTAGCCCAATGAGTAGCACAGCCCTTTGCATCGATTGGCCTGCAAGCGGCAACAACCAACCTTTAGTTGGGCAGGATATTCAGATCAGGACGAAAGGTTTCTAACTTTTTATGAAGTTGAAAGTGATTAGCTGGCTGGATTTGTGATAAGACAGCAGAATATTGCAGAAGCAACATAGAAGAAGCAGCTTGCTTCTCACCCTATTCGATGGGTCTGTCCTTTTGGATGGGAAAGGAAAAGAGGCATTTGGTTTGAAATCATCTTATAATGAAACTGCATTTCCCTAATAGCTAGAATTCTAACCTTCTGGGAGGTTCATGCTCCGTGCGTGCTAAACATAGAAACGGAGTGAGTCAGAAGGGCCATCTAGTCTGACCTCTGGCACCAGCTGGCTCCGCTCACGACATGCCTGCCATGTGCATGTCCAGCCTATAAAGTGGGGATGTCAGGTGCTACTCATGTGGCCTGCTCTTTGATCTTGTACCATGTTGTCGGACTAATCATGTTAAGTTTGGCCCACGCATCATCACCGTTCAGCGGATGTTTCCACAGTATGGCTTTCCCACAGCTTATCTCTGCATCTGCTGGCCTTGGCATCTCAGGATCTTGCCCCTTCTCCTAGTTCTAACTCAGAACCTGGCAACAACACTGGAAGGCTGTGAGTTAGGAGCAGTGTGCCTAGACTTTGACTATGATCCATGACAGATTCCCCAGCATAGATACTTGTGTGGGTCAGCCTTGGGTTCCCCAGCATTGCTGGACTCCAACTCTCATCATCCCTAGCTGGGACTGATGGGAGTCCAACTCCAACAATATCAGGAAAGTCACATGTCCCCCACTCCTAGTCTATGGGGACTGGCTGTAACATCTAGGGTCTCATGGACCCAAGGATCCCATCTAGGGTCTCGTCCCCTCTTTTTGCAGGCAGAACAGCTTTGCAACGGAGCTTCATTCTTCCCAATGGACTACATCATAAACGATGACTTAGGAGCTCAGCCAGCAAGCCCTTTAGCCCCTTGAGGCACTGGAAGGGTTCGTGGCAGGGTTGTTACCTTCCAGATACGGTTACCTTCCCAAGTTCCATTCACCCAG